GGCATAAATTTCCCCACTTTATACAGATAATTGTTTATATCACATTAACATAATATAAAATAAACACGATTGTTTTGGCGTTGACATGGAAACATTTTTTTTTATTAATCTTAGTGACGTATTTTCTGACCAAATTTGGTGTGATTTGCTTTACTGGAAACTGGACTTTCATAGAAAACAGATGTTAATAACGCTCTTATGTGATATTTTCAAATAATGACTCCCATGTCAGACAATCATGAAGTAAGTCATGAATATCATAAGCTGTAAAATGTTCGTAAAATAAAAAAATAACTTTGATGTTCTAAATCCTCTTGTTTCAGCAAAAATTTAACAAACAATTCAAACATAAAGTGATCGTCGAATTCACTGAAATAAATAAACCGACATTGTTATGTGCATGCCTATAAGACCAATTATAAAGAATTTTGAATAATGATTCCCTAGTATATATTTTTTTCGCAAAATATTCAGTGTGATGTTGTAACGCACATGCTGACATGGCGGACTCACTGTGATAAACAAACCCATGAAGCGAGGCGTAAATTTGTGTCGTCAAACTCCCCCTGATTATATATGTTACGAATAACAAATAGAAGCTAAAATGGCTTCTAATGATACCCAAGTTATTATAACTGAACATATGTCAATTTTAGGTTTTGAAAGTGATTCTAGTTAATCTAAATAATTTGGGTAATATGTTTAGGAGCAATAGGGTCATGTTATGTTTGGGATATATGAACAACTATTGATACAACTAATGACTAATAATAAAAACAATATAAACCATTAATAAATTTATGCCATTAAACAAAATGTGGCTACCGAACAATGAAGATTACATCCAATGACACCAATATAACGTGTATGTTTTCATCAAAGGGATTTAAGATATTGGGAAAATGAATGAATAAACAAAATAGTTCGACCCGCTGTCTGAAAATTAGAATGTTATGTACATATATATATGTTCTAAATAAGTCGATGATAATACAAAGATAAAATAAATATTATTAGTATTAAAATATTTACGAGAGAAACGTGATATTATTTATTATCTCTTTACAACCTTGAATCGAATAAAATTAACAAATTCAACATCATTCCCTATCACTACTACACCCAGTTGCTTCATTGGTGTATCATGTGTTTTCAAATTATCTAAATTCGATACTTAAAAAAAATAATTGAAAAAATATAGTTAAAAGTCACAATATTCAAATATATTCTTCGACATAAAAAAAATAGTAGTACTCCGGAGACTGGTGACAACTTCAACAAATTCAATATTTATTAAGCTTGGCTTTTAATTTGTCTTATTCAAAACATGGGTTTGTTCTTAAAATAATTTTAAAATGTTAAGGTTCATACATTTCGTAGCGCATGAACCTCAAATTAAAAATTTCCATTTTGTAAATATACAAAAAAAAAAAAGAAAAATATAGAACGGTTTATTTTAGAAATATGCAAGCACTTTAAAATTAACGAGAACCACAAACAATACTAATACTGGAATTATTTATTATTTTCTTATCGTTTTACAGCCTTGTTGATTAGGTTGATTTGTTAACATTAAAATGATTTACATTAAGCCATCTTGTATCTGATCGTCAAACGAGTGCCTGCTCTGAAAGAGCGTTAACCGAACGGCCATTTTGAATCGGATCGTCAACCCAATACATCTGTATATTTATGACATGATGTATAATGATTATATAAAAAGTTAATTATTCAAAGCAAGTCGGAGATATAGCTCTAGAAGAGCATTCATTAAAACAAAATGGCCGGCAGTCAGCCATTTTGTACCAGTTTTGAATATAAATCCATCTTCAAACAGCCGAGATCCGGTTCCGGAATGCCAGGAAAGCTTGATGATGATTATTATTCAGGACAAAAAACGCCGCCATTCAGACCGTGAAACAAATTGATGTGCGTATGTTTAATGTTATGCATGTTGTATGTGCAAATTTTGAATGTAATCGTCCAGGCAAGTCTAAGAAATAGGTCAGGACGCACGCACGCAAAGATGCAAGCACGGACACACGGACTGTTCGTTATTAATTATATTATCGGTAGGTGTTATCAGGTAATTGTAATTTCCCCAACAACGCCACTGTCAAAATGCTGCTGCTATGTGAACATTTCTGATATCATGGCTAACATATGGGATGTATTGTAACATCATTGCTAAAGTGTTGCGTTAATTCAATCCGTGACCGTTCCACATGCTGTGAAAAATCTCAACTGAACATGTATGGACATATTTCTGTGCTCGATCAAGTTGGGGTTTGAACAATTTGAAATTACGTGTCAAATGTATACAGCTTTATAACTTAGGTGACATCCAAAAATACCGGAAATTAACAATATAATTGTTAACAACAATTTAAGAAACCCAGCGCAAACACATCAATAATCGGATGGATATCGAGAAAGGCATATAGCCGGAATTACAACAATACACACTACCAAATGTGTATCGGAAATGTTTAATGTGCATGAGAAAAAAAAGCATATTTACTTAACTTATTCGGTTCACACACTGATATGTAATCAATGTTTACAAATAATTCCTTTTGTTACATATGATAGCTAATGAATTACACTTTCCATACTTTTCGTAATGGAGTAACAATATCATCATATCTTCAAATTTGTTTAGGATAACTTCCGGTTTCTAAAAGGGCATCTTTCGGTTCAAGATGTTGTTGCT